ATATATATATATATATATATATATATGACGGCTACGAAAGCGCGCGTATACAGCCGCGCGGCGCAATTACACGTTCGCTCGCGCGCCGCTAACTTTTCGCCGCCCCGAACTTTAATGTACCTACGTCGAAACGAAGATGCGGGATGCCGCGTGAAATGAAATCTACAGTGCGGGCGGCAGGTCGTGCGGAGGGGAGGGTATATATATACGCGGGTCGCCTATACACGGTCCCCACGTAATCCCGGCAACGTAATGCAACCGGCTGGTGCCGTGGCGCGCGGCGTACAACCTGATTATGTCCATTTGTTGCCCACTCGAACCCCCCGGGCGATATCGCGGAACTTAATCCACCTGAGTTAGTTGCGCGTGCTCGTTCCTCGTGGGATCGTCTAAGATTTATCTTCTTGTGAAATATTTTCTCCCGGCTTTCCAACACTGCGCCAACCGGGAGACTCTCACAGGCTCTCCTCCACGACGCGCGCGCGCGCGCGACAGAGAGGATGCACGCTCGCCTTTCTCGGCACGCTCGTGCCTCGCTCGCCGTCTCGCTTCCTCCGGCTAACGTTCCGACGCCGCGCCGTTTCCGTTTTATACGTGTGCGGCATTCCCGCGGGTACACGGCCCCGGATAGCTGCGACTGATAAACCGACGTATAAATATCCCCGACAACTTTGCATCCCGGCCGTCTCGCGACGCGTTACACACAGAGGAGAGGGGAAGGAGGTTGATAATAAAGATTCGCGTCCATCGGAAATTCGCGATTTTCCGACTGGCCGCGCGCGTCCATTTTCACGCGCGAGCGACTTAATTGGCTGGAACTGAGAGCTAATCGGTCGTTCGTAATGAAAAGGGTCCCCATTAGCGAACGAAGACGTTCGCATCATTTTTACGATGAATCAAGTGAGAATTTCGATGTCGTTGAGAGATCAACGCGAGTCTGCGCGTCCCGAGAGTGCCGCATTTATATAGAAAGAGCACATCTTCATCCATATAAAATCTTCTAATTGCGCCATTTAATTTGGAACGAAAATTCAATATAAATCGCAAGAGTCAATTATATACCTTTAACTTTTAGCTTTAGGAGATTGTACTTTAGCTAATTAGCACGAGTAAAAGATAGCCTTGTTGTCTCGTGCAATTTGCAGAACTTAAGATATGACGACTACTATTGAACACGCATCTTCATTTGGTAAAAGAAAGAACGAACAAGTGGAGGATAAGCGTGTAACGTAATACCATTAGGCAGTGACATTTGCGACGAGCTTCGCGCGGGGCGTCTTAAAGTGCAAGTGGTAACGCGTTTACTTAGTCAGACACGACTCTCCACTTTAGCCGGGATTAACGTCTGATAATAAAATGGAGTACAGTGGGATTAATTCGATTTCGCGGATGTTTCGCTTAATACACGGCCGACTGTCATTATCAGTTTCTCTGCCGGGTGTTAGTCTTTCCTCCGTAAGACCCGGGGCACGAAGTAGAAAGTTACTTAATCTTCTTACTACGCTTACCCTCGCGTCCGACGCCGCCTTAAACTTCGACTACCAGCATTTCAATGTATACGTATATTCACGAAACGCTAAGCTGTCGCTAAACCGTATCACAGGCGTTCGCGTCTTGCACGACGCGTTTGCTCGCAAGAATACAAATTCTACAGTCCATTAAGATTTTTGAGATATATATTTTATAAGATACATATTACTTGAGTTTTAAAAATTAAAGATATTACCACTTCTTGTGTTTTATTTTGTAAAAGTAGTTGTATACACGGAAAGAAAAACAATTTTGCTGAATCCAGATCTAAAAATAATTTTTGTTCAATAATCAAAATAATTTTGTGCGAAAGTCAAAACGATTGCTGGAATATCAAAACGTTTTATAGCAATGCTTATCAGTTTTAACATTCTAACAAATTATTTTGATGATTCAACAAAATATTATTTTCAGATCTGTTTTTTCAGCAAAATTTTTAGACCTTTCAACAAAATCGTTCTTTTCATGTATAACGTCTAATTTTGAGGTAAAAATATATATGTTTCGGTTTCATTAAGATCTTATTTTGCAGCGAATAAATTATATAAATCTGCACGAAGATAATTTAAAAAAATGATAAAACAATGATAACAAAAACATGTTTTTAATATAAAGCATTATAAATGTTTAGCAATTGCAGGTAAATTATTTGGTCTTTAATTCCGAAATATCATTAAAATAATATTTTTATATATTGCGATTATATAATACTTTATATAATATTCAGTATATTTTTCGAAAGAGCGAATAGAAATTACACGTGATCAAGAAATTAAATGTTATAGACTCTTTCAACTGTCAAAGAACTAAAAGCACAAAAGCAGTAGTAGAACTCTGTGCAGAGTCAGGCCATTTAGAGTCAGAGTGGTTCCCATTTGCTCTTGCAGTTAGAACTTTCCTGGCTCCGGTATACAATGCGTTATGTAAGGACGTCTGAAAACAGTACCGTATAGAAATAACAGTAAAAATATCCCTCGACGAAAGTTACTGCGTAACGATTTACATTTAAATAGAGACAGTCGCAGAGTAGTTATATATTTCAATTTTAAAAATATCAAATATCGCGCTCAAGCAAAAGACGTGTTAATATAGCGAATAAACGGTTCACGCGGAGCGCGTTGAAGCTTTTCAATTGTTGAACAGTGCTAACTTCCGTCAAACCCGCGACGAGTATTCTCGCTCACAGCGCGTGCTATCGTATACGGATTTGTAAAACATTCTGTCCTCTCCACTCTTCCTCTTCGCCTTTTCTGCTCTTTCCATTTTTCCTCTCTTTTACCGCATTTTATGCGCCTCCCTCCCATCGAGTGTACAGCGCTCCGGATCTGAATATCTCGCTTCTTTAAAGGGGTCTTATCGCGCGGCGCGAACGCGGCCACGGTTGTGCCGTGGCGCACGACGTCGAATGTACGCCGTCTCGGCGGTACATATATAATACCTTATAACGTATACGGTATATCTGACAGAGCTTGTTCGCGAGCGTGATATCGAATTGCGTAGTCATACGTGAAGGCAGACGGATGACGCATCCGATCGCCCGAGGAAATTCAGATCCTTATGTATCACGAGATTTTTCGGGTTGGGGGCGACAGGGAGGGGGGGGGGGAAGAGTGCCGAAGAAGGATGGCAGGCGCGACTATACGTGCGAGTGCCCAAGAGGAATTTTCAGATCATGATCCACTGAGAAAGGAGATGTGCGTCGAGGCAACGGTGGAGGGGTGGGGAGGTAGCTGGCATCGACGGATCCGTATTATAAATCCGTCCGCGGAATCCCCGTGGTTATTTCGCGGTAGATATTCCCCGAGATACGATTTCGCCGTATATGCACCGATAATAATCGTCGTATTAGATCTCAATCCTACCACGCCGATACCTATCGTGCAGCGTCGACGTGCGCGCTCTCGTGACAGACATTTCGCTCTCCGCGTTCCCTCCTTTTAATCTTTAAATTTCTCAATCCCAATACGAATTACATATAAATGTACAGTCGCGCTGCGACGATAAGATCGATAGAAAGGGAGAGAGAGAGAGAGAGAGAGAGAGAGAGAGAGAGAGAAAGAGAGAGAGATTAACATTACGAGCGTAAATATCGTAAAATGCATTCCGGAAAGATCACGTAATAACTCTATCTATACTATTGTCGGAAGCTCTCGACAATAATTCCGTACCTGCGCGACTCGCGTGCCGTCGAAAACGAGAAGTTCACTATACGGAGGCAGAATAATTTCTGCCTCCTGAAGTTTCCATGGAAATGAATTCCGTGCAACTGCGATACTTCGCGTAAAGAAGACGCGACCGTGGTCAATGTCCCCCAACTTATAACGAAGGGCTGCACGTGCCGTAGTTCGCGATCGGTCGATTCATCGAGGGCAGGGCGCAGGCGGAGGGAAACTTTGCCGGCGGCACGGTACAGCTTTTTCATAATTGATCGTCCAATCGATACACTCCGCTATTCTGCTTTCAGGACTCGATGCCGAGTTGTACTATGTGCGGGAGGGGGTGGTCAACACGTACGCGATGAATTTCGTCGTGCCTGTGCCGGCGAGCATAGCGGACCTAGAATTTTCATGGCAGAGCCTCATAGGATACCCGGTACGTATATAATATGTATGTGTATATCTAGGTGAAGACGTTTCCAATGCAATCAGGTATTCAAGCCTACGGAGATACAATTTCAATACCGATTTCAATACCGTTATTTGTCTTGCTTCGATATTTGCTTGAAGCAAAAGCTTTGGCCTTTTTAACGTACAACATATATATATATGTCTACGTCGTATTTACAAACTATTTACAAACGCGTAGTAAGGAGAACATTCTCCGCAAAAGATTTCTTTCGTCATCCAGGCGGAATATTTCACTTTTGCATCTTCGGTTCACGAAAGAAATCACGAATTCGTACATCCGTTTACTGTCGCCGAGGGATGTTAAAGTAGAGGAGGGGAGGGGATCTCCTCCCGTGTGTTCGAGCAAAACGTTTCCGCCGGCCATTAACGAGACGCAACAATGCGGAACAAAGTAAACACGTGACCCCGGCTGGAATGGTAACACACGGTATCCTCGTTTACGTTCCACTGCGGGATGGTGGCCCGTCACGGTGGTTTACCGGGGGTGTTCGCCGAGGGTTAAGAGGGGCTCGGGCACGGCTCGTGAGGGGCGAGGCACGACGGTGTGCAGGGCTGTATCAATACTCTATCAATATGAAATACAAACAGATGGCCTGGGCGTGAAAGGGACGGAGCGAGCCGGTGCACACCGTGCGGTTCGGGTTTTGCGCTCCCTTCGGTCACCAAGGAAACCGAACGCGCCCTCGAAAGCCCCTCGCGACGTGGTAGAAACGCGGGAAAAACGTGAAAAGTCGCGGCTCTCCCTCGGATCGGATATGTTAAACGACAAGGAAATCTCCGTTCTACAACTAACCGTTGTTCCATCTGATTGAACGTGACTGTCATACCGAATTCTGTCGATTAGGTTCAATTTGTATATTATCATATCATCCTTTTTTTCCGCCATACCTTTTGCATAATTAATTGTTAAAGACGATATGGATTCTTATCACTTTTGCAGTGATTTAATAAAAAAATACTGAATAATAAGTATATCACGTGAGGCAATAAGTGCTTTAAAAATTTTTAGTATTAGCGTTTTACTTTTATATTTAATTTCTGTATTTTTTTGTATGTTAATCTCATAACAATTCTATTAATTCACTTGGTGCTGATATATGTAACATTTTTGGAGAAACTACTATTTGTATTATATCAGCACCAAGTGAATTAATAGAATTGTTATAAGATTAGCATACAAAAAAACAGAAATTAAATATAGAAGTAAAACGGCCACACCAACTATGGCTCGCGATTATTTGGTCGCAAAGTTACTTTAAAATGACGCCGACGAACTCTTTTCTTGTCGCCATCCGTACGTGTTGATGGAACCCGTATCGCAAATTCATTGAATCCGGGGATTTTCAGAACGAGCGTCCGTAAAAGGCCCGATATGTTCACGCTACGAATCCCGGTGCGTTGTTGGAACGCGTCGCGATCGTTGCAGGAGAAGACGTCCATCCACTTCGTTCGTAGATGTATAACATACGTCTGGCACCATTACGGTGGACGCTTTATTGCGAGAATACCGCACGGCGACCCATCTTATCCCCGTAAGGGAGTGTGTGTGTGTGTGTGTGTGTTCACCAGCCCTCCACTTTCACCCGTTATCTCGTGGACCTATCCGTAGGTTCGTTAACCGCGAAATCGCACCATTTCCGTGATCACGGAGCCGTCGTTTCGCCTTATCTCCTGCTCACTTTCGACACGACGGAAGAGTTTTGCTGCTGGAAACGGCCGGAGACGATGAAAGAATGGAAGGACGGCGTGCGTAACGGGACGAGAACCAGCACGAAAATTGGTCACTTAATTTCGCGCAGATAGCTACCCGTTAAAGAGTTTGTGCGAACGTTTCATTAATTTTCAATTGCTTGAATGTGGTATATAAATGTTAAACTATTAATTGAATAGAAGCGCGTCGAAGTATTCTAAATTAAAATTTATCTTGAGAAAAATAGAATTTCTTTATTGCAGATATATTAAATATTCTATATCTTTATCAATTTTTTTTCCGATTTCTTGGAACTTTTAACAAATTTTTCGAACTAGATTTTTTTTTCGTTTGCATTATATCTTGAGAACATTATATCTCGAAGAAGAAAGTCTATAAAGAGATTTATCGATAAACCCTCGGACATATAGGTGATGCAAGTTGCACGTGCTTTCGCGAGGCTCTGATATATGCTGGAAATTTCTTGCTGTCCGCTAAAAGCATAGTAAATGCCGTCCAAACACATTTATGCGCGTTGAGATATGATGCCTCGTGGCACATTCAGCGGCGACTCGATTAAACGGTACAGTGTTATCCGGTTTTATCGGTCCATCGTCGTCGGAAACAAAAACTTTTCCTTTACCAGGGGAACGCTACATATATCCGTCGTGATTCTGACTCACCCAGAATACCGCTCGGTTCTCGCATATCTGCATCCGGTGATCGAATGAGATCTCTCGTAGGATATCGCGATGTGCGTTCCAACTAATCCGCTCATCTGGACCGACGAGTTCGATCGATGAGTCACGACACTTTGTTATCCGCGTTATCCGACGGTTTCATCTATCGAGTGGTTCTCCCCGCGAACGAAATCGATCGCGCATCGCGACCTCGGCACTCTCCGCTCGCGCATAATTCCTCTGGTATACCGGTCGCGAAATGTTGACGGAATCGCTCGTCCGTCGGGCGGCTCATTGTTGACGAGCACGAACAGGAAGGAAACGCTATTTTTCACTTTTAACATGTTTCATCGGCAAGATTGCCCTCGGAAGACGTCACGCCGCGCGGCAGTGAAAAATGGTACGAAGGTGAGGACATCGAGGAGAGCAAAAAAAAAAGAGATCGCAAAGCAACATCGGAGGCGGAAGGCAACCTCGAGCGATAACACCCTCGATTAGGTTCTCGATTCGCGCTACGTCGAATCCGAGTATTATGCGTTTATTTCTTCCCCGTCCGTCCTTCCTTCCTTTCCGACTGTTTCTCGAGACCCCCGTCGCCTGCAGCGAAACGGGAGTTATTGGTCGTTCTGAGGCAAGGATATAGACTGAAATGAAGTTTCCCATCGGCGAGGGGTGGCGTCACGCCGAATCGGGGATGATTTGTGAATCATCCACTTGTTAGGCGAAAGTTCCGCGCTACTTTCTTTTTTTCTCCCTCGAGTTGAGATCGGGGTATGGCGATAGGGCCGTGGAGGGATGTCGCAGGCTGGTACACGGCACTGCCCTTTCCTGCTCTCTGTCTCTTTCTCTCTCTCTCTCTCTCTCTCTCTCTGACTCTCTCGGCTCGCTTTCAGACACTCCTCGCTCCTTTCTTCCTCTCTCTTGTTCTCTCTTCTTCTCCAGAACCTTTGATTTTTTTTTTTTTTTTTTTCATATATCTCGTGTTACTTTCTTTCCCATTTTTATCTCGCTTATACGTTTTCCTCCATCCGCCGTGTTTTCCTATACGTATCGTATTTTTCCTTTCCTTTGTTTCTTCCGCCACTCATTTTTCCTTCCTCATGCTTCCTCCCGCACCCTCGTCCCAGCTCGCTCCGAGATCGGGTTGGGAGCTAGGGGTGGATATAGGGTCGATCTGCGATCTCCCCAGGGCGACAATTACTTGTAATACCGTCGGTCTCTCGGGACCGATGGGAACTCGATGGGGCGTACTCTCCGTAAGAAAAAAGGATATTACTGTAACTTACCTCGAGTCCGAGGCGCCGCTCCCTTCACGAAGGGTACGATCTGTCGCCCTTGTCTTATCGTGGTTGACGTGTCTGATGATCTGTCAGGGAACTCTCTTCAATTAGACGTGCACATGTCGTGTCTATCATGCGGCACATTTATATAACTAAAATGCAACATATGGTTTTACGTTTAACAAAAAAATTATGGTAAAAGTTGTATCCTCATTAAATAAACAATTATTAATTGATGATTTATCGTATATAATATACTTAAAACTTTAACGTAATTTATTTTATTTAATAAAAGTAAAATCTTAAAAAATTACATATCTAAATTGCTACTAACAACAGAAATTTACTCGAAGTTTATTTGAAATTGTGGTTGTTCTCGCTCTGATCCAAATCAACTGACGTTGACATGGAAACTGAATCTGTATCGCCATAAACTTTCGATCCCTAATACGGAATAGCATTGCAATTAAGCTGTTGCTTATATTCTCGCGAAAATCAGATCAATCCAATATTCGTCCGGGGAACATATCCCTTAACTACTAAATACCAATTTTGCGATACACTCGGCCGGCGTTCGCTTTGTCGAATGACGCGTCCACACACCACGTACATACCATCGAATTCCGGCCACTTCCGTTAATTAATGAAATCCGTGCCGCGGCTCATTCATCACCGGCGATCGTACGCGTCCGCATCGGAACAGACACGGGGGGGGGGGG